TTGTTAAAAAAAAAAAAAACATGAAAACAAATCAGTGAAAGGAACTTTTTAAGAAGTAGTATATGGCTTTGTTTCTGCATACAAGGAAGGAAAAATCTAGCTGTGGAGATAGCTGGCAAGAAAAAGGAACTATACAAAGCAGCAGTAGAATAAGGCAGGCTCTGCTAAAAAGAGCTAATACAACAGTTCTTACCGAGCTTTGCTACCCGCCTGGCACTACCTCAGCCCTGTCCATGTGGTATCGTGACGATGCACCCCAGCACCCAATCCTGCTGGCTCTACCGTCCAACCACATCCCCCTACCTCCCATTCCATCCCCCTCTCTTGCAGTCATTTCTTATCTGCATTGTTCCTATGGCCTCCCCAGCTGGTCCCCCTGCTTCTCCTTTGCCCACTCTACAGAGTGTTCACAAAGCCGCCAGAGTAATTCATTTACACATTCCAGTCATTGTAATTTCACTCCTGTTCAAAATCCTCCAAAACATCCCTTTTCACTGGGAGTAAAAAAGTCACAGTCTTTAAAGGGGCCCACAAAACTTTCTAAGTCCTAGCCCTGACTGTGTTTACAACTTCATTTCCTACTACTTTCTGGTACAATGGTCTACTTGAAATCCCTTAAATGCCAGAAGCTTGGCTTAGGGTTTTTGCTGCTAGACCCCTGCCCGGAATACTACTCCCCCAGATAGTTGCCTGGCCCACTCAAGTCTACACTCAACTGTCATCCTTTTAAAGAGACCCCTCCCCTGACTACACAGTATAGAACCCTAACCTGAAGAGTAGGGTAGCTGAATGCAACGTCATACATTCAGCCCATGGAGGACTATGTCGCTATAAAAAAGGAATGAGGATGATCTCTATGAACTGATATGGAATGATTAACCAGACATATGGTTAAGAGACAAAAACGAAGTACAAAAGAGTACATAGAGTATGTTACTATTGTTACTGTTGCTGCATTATCTATTTATATCTACAAAAAGAAACAAAGATAAAACAGAAACAAGCAGTACCTATTATGACAGAGGGAGAGGGTAGGAATAGGATTTCTCTGAGCATCTCTCTATATGGTTTGACTGGCACTATATTAATATTTTACATATTTAAAAATTAAATCAAGGGGGGAACCCTAAAACTGAATAGAAACAAAACAAATTAATGCAAGTATATATTGAGTTGATAGCATAACCCCTCAGAAGAAAAAAAATTAAGCCAAGTAATTTTAAAAGACAGTATTCTGTACATATACAACAGGCTATATGGAAGAATAAAAAAAAACTCTGAAGAAACTTTGAAATGTATTTAGTAAAGTTTGTGCTTGGTAGTGTTCTTGGTATAGCAATTACGAAACTATTTTGTGTTTAATGTATATTAGGAAAACATACTGATTCTATGAGGAATAGAGTTCTCACTGTGGCAAAGGGAGGTACTAATAGGGAATGGAGGAAGAGAAAGATGAACCAAATTGTTAGATTAGGCTTAGCGGTAACAGGATAAACTTATGATTTTGCGAACACTCTATTTCCCAGCTCTGAGAACTGACAGCCTAGAAACCATGACTCCAGTAGCCTTGAGCACACCTAGCACCCAGATATTGATTTCTAAGTCCCATCTCCCACTAAAAGGAATGAGAGAATCTAATGATTACAGGCTGAGGCAGAAAAGGTACAAAGGAGTCCAAGACATCCTTCTGTGCCAGAAAGTAGGAAGTTCTCAAAAACTGATGGAAACATGGCAAAGAACACAGAAGCACAGAGGGGTTCCCATTTGCCAAAATCTGGATTACCGAGCATCAAAATAGATGACAAAAATGCCATCTTAAGAAATACCCCTGGGTCCATACTTATACTAAAAAAATAAAATTAAAAAAAGGAGGTGCTAAAGTTCTTCATTACTGAAGAATGTCAATGATGTATAAAGAAAAATGGGGATAGAGAACTGCCGTCTACAAATATTTTAGGGGACTTAGGAAAGAATCACCACTGGATGCTAAAACAGCTAAAACACTGGATGAAAGATTGTTGCGGAACAGGGGAGTCACACAAGCTCAAAGTGTCACTTGATAAATCATGTATTAATACAAAGGGGAACAGGTGCCTCTGTGATGGAGAAATCCGGTGGATCACCTTAACCAAATAACCAAAGTTAAGGTCTCCAATAATGGGACAAATGGAGTGCATGTGCTCTCTAATGAGATGCACAAAGAAGGACATGACACACCTATGGAACATTCCTGAAAGTTTTAACCAGAATCTAATCATAAGGAAACAGACCATCCAAATCTAGGGACATTCTATAAAACTGGTCCAGACCTTTCAAAAATGGTGATGTCATAAAGTACCAAAAAAAAAAAAAAAAGAGTTGGCAAGTTTAAATTAAAGGGGATTAAAGAGGCAGGACTACCAAATGCAGTGTGTGATCCAGGATCAGCTTCTGGACTCTATCAGAAAACAGTATTATATTGATGGTGTATTTCCTGACTTTGATCATGGTTTCATGGATTCCTGGTGACATACTGTTCTTAGAAGACATATGATGAAATATTTACGGGTAAGGTATCATAAGATCTACAACTCTCAAATGTTTAAACAAACAAAAAAATTAAGTGTGTGTGTAAATAGAAGTAAACCAAATGTGTCAAAATGTTAATAACTGGGGATTCCAGGAGAAAAGTGTGTACGTGTTCATCATACTATCTTTTGCAACTATTCTAAAGATTTCCAAAGTCCCAAAGTTTTAAAGAAATAAAAAGAAATATTAACCATGCCCACTCCCCTTTCCTCTGCATTACTAATCTCTGTATCAGTGTTTACTTTACCACCACCCAACATCTAGATATTTACTCATTTATTCACTTTCTGTCTCTCTCCCTGACTATAATGTAAGGTTTGAAGAGGCAGGGAAGTCTGTTTCTTGTAACCTCGGTCCCTTGTACAGTGCCCAACACATAGTGGACGCCCAGTAAAACTGTGTTCAGTGAGTGACTCATGTTCACAGTCTCAGAAGTACATGTTATCATGACCCTCCCTCACCACTGAGGGGTGCTCTCTCTCTCTCTCTCTCTCTCTCTCCCAAGGCAAAGATAGTAAGGCTCACAGAAGTTAGGTAACTAACGGAAATTACAATTCCATATAAGGAGCAGGGCCAGGGTGGGAAGCCAAGCACTGACTGGAGAGCTGATGCTCTTTATCACTGGTGGGCTGCTTCTCATTGAGTCAGGCTCCGCCTGTACCTGCATCTCCCTGATGTCCACAGTCTCAGGGGGGTCCTGTGATGGCATCCCCACCTCCGATGACTCCCAGGTGCCATCCTTCCTCCATACTGCTGCCAGATTATTCCTCCTAAACGCATGGTTCTGATTCTATGAGGCCCAGAAAGAATTCTCCAAACTCCCATCCGGGATGTGCAGGGCTCTCTGCTGTGGGGCCTCCAGCTCCCACCAGCACACTTACGCTCCAGGGACACTGAATGACTCTCAACTGCCAGGTTCACCCTGTACACTGTGCTCCCGTCTTTTTCACCTCTTGGAATCTTTTCCCACGTCATGGCTCATCCACACACCGTCTAGCCTTGGAGGCCAGGTTCAAAAACCCTCCCCTTCCAAGACGTTTTTGCGTCACAAGAGATACTTGATTCACAAAAGACGTTCTTCGCTCCCTTCTCTATGCACGCCCATAGCACTTTATGCTCAGCCGATCTTAATTAACGACATTTATTTCTGTGCCTTAGACCGTAGGACCTTTGAGATCTCTCAACCCCTCCCTGCTAGGCGGGCCTCCATAGACACATACCCCACAGGCACTCCGTGGAAGCTGAGTGCAGAATGAGGATTGGAAGATTGATCTGTAGTATGTGCAAAGGGGCCCCCAACGGGAAACCCTCAAGGAAAGAAGAACTTGTTAAGCGTTTGTTACTACGCTCCAGGGGGTTGGCTATGACTGTGTGTGTAGGGGTTTATAAAGGTGGGGAGATAAAAATGGAGACAGATACTTATTTCATGGGGCTGTTAATTTGGCTGAGAAGTGGGAAAGGGATGAAAGCAGTTCTAGACGCACAGAGTTCTTTGACGTTTTCAAGGGAGGGGAAAGGAGCACCAGCCGCCCTGCTTCGGAATCCTGGGGGCGATTCAGACATTTCTCTTGGCCGGTCCCTGTCCCGAGCCCGGTCCCTTCCGGCAAGAGCGCAACTCAAACGCGGCGCGGCGTTGGAAGGGGGGGGCGGCGGAACCAATCGGCTGTGGCGGCTCCTGCGCCCCACGCGGCGCGCCGCGGATAAGCCGCGTTCTTTGGGTAGGTGGAACCCGCTGCCGGGAGCCGTCCTGGGAGGGCTCACCGGCTGCGGAAGCAGTGAAAAGGCCGTGCAAGCGCTCGGCGACCGTACCCCGCGGGGGTGGTGGGGGCGACAAGTGGCTCAGCAGTCACTGGAACCTCAGCAGAGGCACACCCTTCCGGAGGTGTGGGGTGGTGGAGAGGTGAAAGGCCTTGGGGGAGCTGGGGGTTAAGGATTCTTTTTTTTTTTTTTTTTTTTTTTAGATTTTTATTTATTTATCTGAGAGAGAGAATGGGAGACAGAGAGCATGAGAGGGGGAGGGTCAGAGGGAGAAGCAGACCCCCCGCTGAGCAGGGTGCCCGATGCGGGACTCGATCCCGGGACTCCAGGATCATGACCCGAGCCGAAGGCAGTCGTTTAACCAACTGAGCCACCCAGGCGCCCCGGGTTAAGGATTCTTAACAGAAGAAACCACTGGAGAAGTGAGCGAGCCGGAGTCCCGTCCCTATTCCAAACGCGGATTCCGGTGCCTAAAGTCAAGGTTGCCTCCTGACTACCCACGGGAGACTTGCTGAAGTGACAACTCGGCCGGACAAGGTCCGGCTGGCTGCGTTTCTTCTCCCCAACCCAGTTGTGGCCACCTCGAGCCCCGCCCGTCCGCCCAGCCCCGGAGCCCTCAAGACACCGACACCCCCGGCGCTGCCCAGTCCCCGCCAGGGCCCGGGGAAGGCCTCCACTCACCGAACTGGAGCAGCAGGCAGACCACGCCGAGGACCCCCGCGGCCCAGCCCCAGGCTCTCCCGGCGGTCATGGCGCGTCCGGCGGGCCTCTAGGGCCGGACTGCGCGGGGGAGTCCTGGTAAGTTCTGGAGCAGCGTCCCGCGGTCCTTCCCCCACCCCGGGGCCTGCCCCGCCCCCGGCGCCGCCTTGGCCCCGCCCCTCACGGGGCTCCGGCCGCCGCTGCTTCCTCTGCAGGCAAGTCCCCAGGGCCGTTCCGCCGCCTCCCGTCCGCTCTGCGGAGCTCTTCCTTCAGAGTGGCTTGCGTTCTAAAAACCAGGCTTATTTTCGTTCCTCCCGCTCCTCCAGCACTTTTCCTGGACGTTTGGGACGTGACGAAGGCAACTCCGTAACTGGGGGTGTCGGGAGGAGGGAGGGGAAGCTGTGGCCCCGCCCCCCGCCCGCAAAGCTGCGTCCCACTGGGCTTGACCCTACGGTGACAGGAGAGCTCTGCCGAAGGACTGGGAGGCTCCGAAGCACTTCCTTCAGCGTTTTCCAGCAGCAGCAACATGCTAAACAGAAGGAAACGGGACATTGTGGGCAACTGCTAGAACGTGCGGGGTTACCTGGTGCAGCCGGTCCCGCCGGTCTCAGTCAAGTTCAGACCACGTTTTCCTTATTAAGCCTGCCACCCCCACCCCCACCCCTCTCTTAACCCGGAGCTGGGACTTCTAGCCTTGGGTTTCTCCCTTCTCGGTTTCCTCTTTGTTTTCCTCTTCCTCCATCTCAGCTGTGGACTTTCCCTTAGGCTAAGGAGTCAGGTCTGGTCGCCCCCTCACTCTTCGGCCTCCTCCGAAACCTCCCGCCCCAGCTCCGAAAGGCACCTGGAACACTCCGTGCTGGTGGTTAGTCTTTTTTTGAAGATAGATTATTATTTATTTGTTTGTTTGTTTGTTTGAGAGAGAGAGAGAACGAGCCGGGGGAGGGGCAGAGGGAAAAGCAGAGGGAAAAGCAGACTCCCCGCTGAGCAGGGAGCGGGACTTGGGGCTCCACCCCAGGACCTGAGCCAAAGGCAGCGGCTTGACCGACCGCGCCACTGAGGCGCCCCCTAGTGGTTAGTCTTCTTGACGGGCTCGTCCTCCCTCAAATCTGACCCCAGACCAAATGACTCCCAGAACCAGCTCCTCACGTGGCTTCCCTGTCTGCCCCCTTTCAGAGGGAAGTACATGAACTGCCCCTGCCCAGCTGTGGGAGCTAAGGGAACTCTGAAGCTCTTCAGGTGAACAGGACACCTTGCTGTCCTTATAAACATCAACGTTGTCAGTTGTGAAACCGAGTGGAAATGTGCTTGTTGCTGTCATCTCCATCCTCCTCAAGTGAGGATCACAAGGCCACTCAAGACAGTTGAACTGTACTGTAATAATTCATTAGTTCTTAAGTCAGGCATAAGGTCTTAAAAGGTATCTAGGGGCCCCTTGGGTGGCTCAGTCAAGGACCTGACTCTTGATCTCAGCTCAGGTCTTGATCTCTGGGTTGTTGAGTTCAAGCACTGTGTTGGGCTCCACGCTGGGTGGGGAGCCTACTTAAAAAAAAAAATACCTTAAATCTTAAAAGGTATTTCTGTCAGTGAAATTTCTGGGACCAATGTCATGAACCGGGAAGCCTCTTACCTTAAAACCTTCCCTACCATTTGTAGATATTGAGAACATGAGGCAGGTGAAGTGTATAGCACAAAATGTGAGAAAATCAAGTTTCTGTTCTGTCCGGAGCTGGTGGGAACTCAGGCCAACTGAGAAAGGTAGGATGGGGTCAAACTTTTAGACACTGGAGAGCCTCTCAACGTTTTTGAACTGAGAAGTGATATAACAACAAACATCTGCTGAGCACTTACCAAGCCAGGCCTTGTGTTAAAGTGCATTACCCGAATTATTTTAATCTTCTTGCTCTCCCTATTTTCAAAGATGAGGAAACGGAGACTCAGAGAAGGTAAATGACTTGCCCAAGGACACACAGTAAGGGGCAGAACTGGGAGTCCAACTGAAGTTAAATCTAAAGTGCCACTCTTACCTTCTCATACAGGAACAGGATGCAACTTTTGGATAGGCGGCCATGCTATTGATTGGACTAGCCAGCAGGCACTGTCAACCCAGCATGGCTGGGGAAAGTTCTGCCCAGTCACGTGGGGCTGGGAAGTATGCCTCAAGTCATGGTCTCCAGCCTTTGGGTGAGGAATGATTTGTTAGATCTTCTTTGGTTAGATGCTCCTCTGACCAAGACCAATGAGCAATGCCAGCTTCTTCAGTAAGAGAAATGCTGGGCTTCTGTCAAGCAATTTTTTTGAAATATTTACATCATACCCAACGTGGGGCTCGAACCCAAAACCCCAAGATTAAGAGTCACATGCCCCACTGGCTGAGCCAGCCAGGTACTCCCTTCTACCAAGCATTTTTAGAGGAGCTTCTGTGCATGGTCCAGCAGACTTTATGAGTCAAAAGTGGCTCGAACAGTGGACCTGAGTTAGGCAATGGGCCAAAAAGGCTCTATTCGTATACTGAAGACTTGCCCCCAAAAGGAGAGTGGATGTATTTTTCATCCTGTGGCCGGTATTGAGGTCTAGTCTTACCTGCTTGTCACTGTAGATAAATCATGAACTAGAGGTAAGAAAGGAGGGCTCATCCAACCTGCTCACGTGGCCTGAGGTAGCTACTCTTCCTAGCATGTCCATCTCTGGTACTCGGGCTCTAGTTCTTGCCAACCTTGGAACTACCCCCAGGAAGCTTAGAAATCCCAGGAAGAGCTGAGCAAAACACTGCTCCCAATCTTGCATACATGGAAATTGTCCCTGCCTCTTGTGGAAATGTACATCCATTTCCCTTATATAAACACTGGGCAGATTTGCACCAAAGGCGTAGATGGGTAATCTTCTTCCACAATACTCCATTTCCCTTTTTAAAATGTTCCCTGGCAGGAGCACCTGGGTGGCTCAGATGGTTAAGCGTCTGCCTTCGGCTCAGGTCATGATCCCAGGGTCCTGGGATCGAGCCCCGCATCGGGCTCCCTGCTTGGAGGGGAGCCTGCTTCTCCCTCACCCTCCTACTGTTCCCCCAGCTTGTGCTCTCTTGCTCTGTCAAATAAATAAAATCTTAACAACAACAAAAAAAAGACTTTTAAAAAAATGTTCCCTGGCAGAAAGCATTTGGGAGAAAAATTAGGCAAAAGTAGAACGTTAAGACATAACATGGAAGCATTCGGGGTACCCAAGGGATAAACAATCCCATTTCAACTCCTGGCCAGGCCAGCAGCTGCAAGAAGTTGATAAGGATGCAGCAGATGCGGCTGCAGAGCAGAGGAAAGCAGATTAAAGCCTCTGAAAGGTTTGGATTTTTAAAGAGAAAAGGAAGCGCCTCCCTCTGCTTTTTACCCGCATATTTCTTTTGCATATTCTGTGCAATGTAAAGAATTACAGATCATGTATCACTGCTGTGGTTTTAATCATTCTATCATTCTCATTTTGCAGAAGTGGCCAACTCCTCCGTACCACGCCAGCGTTCGGGGGACGCAGGGAACGTGGACTGGCGTGCTGTGCAGGAAGGCACCCTGAGCAGGAAGACACAGCTCCTGTGCGGTTCCTGTATCCTGGAAAATGCTTGCTGACAAGTCCAGGTCGGGACAACACTCCATCGTTTGGGAAAGGTGGTGTGGTCTTGCTGCGGAGGCCCTCTGTAGCCAAGGGGAAGGTTATTCCCCGTTCCTGTGCTCCTTCTCCATCAATCTCCTCCCACCCCGTCCCGTCCCCCTAAAAAAGGAAAGCTGGTTAAGGAGCTCTGCCTTCTGAACCTGCCTATCGGGCCTCCAGGTGTGTGGTGTGTGCACAGATCTGGGGGCAGCATGGCCTTGACAGTCACGGTGGTTGTGTGCATTTACTATGAATCATCTTCAGCAGATGGCAGGAAAGCGTCTTGGGAAAGCCTTTATTGTTTTGTTTTGTTTTGTTTCCCCCATCATTTGTACAAAGGCACTCTTTAGGCTGGGGGCAGGGTGGGGTAATAAAGGCTGCAATTCTTGACCCTTGAGCCTAGCAGGCCAACGCAATGCCAGGGGCAGAACTCCACGCTCCCAGGGCGGTTTCACGGAGAGAGGCTGGTTAAGAGAAAGAAGGACAGTGGGCTCCAGTAACTGCAAACAGCCATATTTTCAACATAATTTACTACAGGTCTCTGAAGTGTATATAAAACATTTTAGTGCAACATTTTACAAATAGTTCTCCTTTAAAAAAAAAAACCAAAAACCAAAAAAAAAACCAAACAAACAAACAAAAAAAAAAAACAAACCAAAAACAGATCAACAGCTCTCTACATCATGCATGGGTAGTTTCCTTACCCTACCTGTTTTTTCAACAATAAACGCAGAGAAACCATTGTTTGAAAAGAATATGAAAACCTGCTACAGAGACACCCCGATGGAGGAGGGTGTGGTCATATCCATGTCCTGGGATGGGCCTAGCACCGGGTAGTTTTTCATGAATGCAACATTGTAGCTGTAGATAAGTCAAGAGTATAGCTGTTAGTTTTCCTCTCCTGGTCCATGGCCTAGAACATCTGTAGGCCGTGTACAATGAGGTCTCCAGCCACTGGAGGGCACCATTACCACTCATCTGACACCACATTTCCATAGAAATGGCCAAACAAGGTCCTGGGGATTTTCACAGAAAGTTGAAAAGCTCACCCTTGGATGGTATCCCCCAGCCCAATAAAAAATACACGGGGACAAAAACAAAACAAAACAAAAACCCAATTGTTAAAATACTGGCTTCGGTTTCTTTTCTTCCTTTCAAATTTTCTGCAACTGCTTCACATATTTAATTCCGTGCATTACCTACTTTTCTATAGCTGTGAACCAATGCAAAGTCAACTCTTCTTAGTCCTCACACGCCCAGTCCCGGCTGGCCCTCTGGCATCTTCCCCTTCTCACAGAGGAAAGTAAGTCATCTTCCCTCATTGACACAGGCTACAAATGAGGGGCCAATTTTCCACCGAAAGCCCCGGCGCCGGAAAGGGAGAAATGGGGCAAAGGACTGCCTTCTTCCCTCACGGCCGAGCAGGTGGACTCTGTACGTCCGAGGCGCTGATGCAGTACACGTGATAAATGGGAGTGAGCACATCAGGCAACAGAGGGATGCAGGTGGCGCTGCCTGCACACGGTCTCATAGGAGAGCACTGGTGCGGGCGGAAGAAAGGGAGGCAGGTCTCCACAAGCCTGTTGGTGGTCTTGCTTCCCCTCAACTACGCAACAGCAGAGCATCCGCTGAGCACCCCCACCGACCCCGACACGGATCGGCACCCACCTGGCCTCCCGGGGAGTCTGTTCAGCCTCAGAACAATCATCTCTCTGGTTAGGCTTAGCTCCAGAATCCCTGGTGGCTTTTTCTAAACTGGGAAGTCCCTGGGGAGTCAAGATGCAAGTTCAAGAGGAAAGGAGATGGCGCTCTTAACCAGCAAAACAGAGAAGCGCCAGGGCATGAGCACGCCTCCCATGGAGTGCGCAAAAGGCAACACTTGTGACCCACGACGGCGTGCCAGGGGAGCCAAGCACGTTGCCCCACAGTGTAAAGGAACAGGGTGACACTGGCTCTGCTGGGCTTCAGTGGGCATTCGAATGAAAAGCCACCATAACAATGAACAACCAAATCGCCTGAAACCACAAACAAGATCTAAGAAAGGGGAAGGCAAAGACCCACACAGCCATGTGATGACTTCCTGCTGAGACTAGGTCCTCTGAATGGGTCACAAAAGGGCTGTGTCTGGACCTCTCCGGGGCAGATATTCTCATGGCAGTAAGACCCACGCAGACAGAAATGGTGAATAAGAAAGACACCGTTCTCTTTGAGGAAAATCTACCCAGAGGGAAGAAGAAAAACCTAGTCTTCATACCTCCAGCGTGGCAGTTATACCTCCCCTGGTCTCCAAGGTCAGGCTCTGGAAACTACGCCATCCCACCACTGACCCCTGCGGGAGCTTAGCAGTCAGCCCGCCCCGTGCCCTCCAGGTATGTGGTGTCCTGTGGGTAGCTGCTTGGGCCCCTTGTGGTCAGCTCAGCACTGTCCCCTTTTCAGGCTCCCTGGCCACTTTCCCTTAAGAGTTTGGCAAAGCACCTTAAAATAGAAGCCCACCCACTCACAGTTATCAGAGACATCTGGTGCAGAACAGATCAAGCCAACAACTAGCCTTTTGTCCTTCCTTCCCTAATCACTGGCTCTGATCAATCTGAAAGTCAGTAGCTGCTAAAAGCAGTGTGTTGCCCACTTTAGCTGGCAAAGTGTGTGCTGTTTGGAGCTTCTGACTTATTCTCCAACAAAGTGGGTTTTTTGTTTTTGTGGGGGTTTTTTTGGCAAGCTTGGGATGAAGCCTATTCTTTGCCTCCCTGACAGGCTGGTCAGGCACCATCTACTCCTAATGGGGTTATGCAGGATTTCTGTTGTACGTACACAGTTCTTTGAAGCAAAATTCAATGCTTTCATCTTGACTACTACAAAGTGGTTCCAACCATTCCAGCTGAGGGAGAAGATAAGATACAAATTGGGCCCACACTACACACAATTTTCGAGTCTCGTTAAGAAAGTAAAAAACGTTTGGGTGTGTTCTGATCCGTGGGTAGCATTTTCAAGTACGCAAAAACAATAAGTCTTGGAAGAGATTCCTTTGCGCCATAAAGTTCATCCCTCCTTTTGCCATCGGTGGTACCTTAAAGAGAAATTCGTCCGTCACGTTACGGAATCCAAAAAGGGTAAACCAAAGGGATTTAAAAAGAGTCCATTACAAAGAATAAGAACCCCTGTCACATCTATATGAGAATACTATATAAATCAGTGAGTAGACATGGCACCTGGAGCTACTCACTACATTACCGGAAACAGAAACAAGGAGCCTAATTCTGCAGGATAAGGACATCTGCTCCAAAACAGCTAACCAACCAGGACTGCCACTGAGAGGCAGTCTGTCTCTGTGACTGATCGGGGACTTTGAACACTTCTCAAGTTTGACAGTTTTCGGGCAAGAGCACTCCAGAGGTTGGGTGCCGTCTGCTGAGCGATCGCAGAGCAAGAGGCAGGAAGGGAGAGTCTCAGCTCCTCTGTGGCTGAGGTCCGCTGGGCTCCCCTTAGTCTATGGCTCCTGGGTGGATACTGAGCACAGGGGGCTCCAGGCAAGTGGGGGAGTAGTTGAGGTGTGGCTCTTTGATCCACAACAGGGGCACCCCATTCTTCCCATCCGAGTTCTTGCTGGAGTTCCGGCTCTTGAAGCGTACCAATAGGATGGTGATGATGAGGATGCCGAAGATGGGGAAAGGGTAGAAGAAGACGAAGTAGAAGAGCGCGTCATTGGAGCAGATGATGGACTGCAGGGTGGAACCTGGAACAGAGGCAAGACCGTGAGGGCTGGGAGCCTGGACCGCCGGCCCTCGTTCCCGAAGCCCTCGCCCAGCCCAACCCAACTCCGCCCCCACCCTGTCTTTCCCTGGCTGCTGCTAAGGGAGGGGAGACCACCCCCCTAGCCCTGTTCACACAGCAGCGCCTCTTCCGATTCCCAGCTGAAGTTCATTCAAAGCAATGCCTCCGTCTCCCGCGGGGAGCCAGTACTGTGCTTGGAGAGCCATAGAATCAAATACAGTTTATTGATTGTGAACCCAACTGCATCTAGATGGTGGAGCAGCTGACCACCCCAGTCCGCACTGCCTGCCCGGTGATACTTCACATGTCCCAATGCACTCAGTTCTGCTCCAAACGTCCTTCTTTGGGACGGGACCTGTTCTCTCCCCCCGCCAGCTTCTGAGAGCAGTTTTACCAGAAATGATGCTTACTTGCTTGACATTATCAATTGAAATGCCATTATGGACCATTTACAAATGTCCACAGTGAATTCAGTGCTAGTTATTCCTGGATATGGAAGGGAATGAAACCCGCTCCCCCCACACCCCAGACCCAGTCGAGGTCTGCTCTGGCGTAGGAGACCTCAGCAGGAGACCTTCCATTTTCTCTGGAAAATAAGGCTGCTGGATGACCTCTATGTACTACGAAACTTAAATAGGGACATCCACAGTGGGCAGATAAAATGTGGTCTAAACACCTTCGCTTGTACTTTTGGGTTATTCAGTAGATTGTTAGGGTGTCTGAGTATGATTTAGGCTTTTCTCTGCTTTCATTTCTACTGCATAGCTGTTGCTCAGTATTATTAAGAATATTCAACATGCACTTACACTTATTAGATTTCCAAAGTATATGAAATTGCTGATAGTCCCCCACTTTTGACCTACAAAACTTCGATTTCAGGGTGCCTGGGTGGCTCAGTTGGTTAAGCGACTGCCTTCGGCTCAGGTCATGATCCTGGAGTCCCAGGATCGAGTCCCGCATCGGGCTCCCTGCTCGGCAGGGAGTCTGCTTCTCCCTCTGACCCTCCCCCCTCTCATGTGCTCTCTCTCTCTCATTCTGTCTGTCTCAAATAAATAAATAAAATCTTTAAAAAAAAAAAACAAAACTTCGATTTCATATGGTTCCATCTCCTAAACAGGAGGTAGTCAAAGAAAAGAAAAAGCTGACAAAACGAGAAACCTCAAATCAATTTACCCGGTAAAAAGTTTTGGCTGAAACGGAAGAGAGGTTACGGTTTCCAGCAGATTTTTTGTTTCTGCATTGCAGGCCAAGTTTACGGTGACAAACGCCATCTTCAGTCTGCTCTATGCCACACTTGGACAGAAGGGCAACTTAAAAGAGTGCCTTGTGAGAAAAAATCATTTAGGTCAGCAATTACTTCTTCCAGTCTCTGGCCATGGAGTCCCTTGATGTGATGAGAGTTCTGAGCTCTGGACCTTTCTGGAGTAGCCACTGATGGTGAGCAGGGCCCTGCAGTATCATTTGGTCATCCCAGCCACTCGTGCAGAATCCAGCTCAACCTCCAAGTCACCCTCCAAAATACACACGAGCCAGGAACTTGAGAAAAACAGAGCAGCGACGCACTCGGGCTTCATTTTTTTGTCCCCCTTCTGAGTCTGAAACACGTTAACTGGCTAAAGTAGGACTAGGCTGGATATTCTAAAGAGTGACGCTGTAACATCTCACAAGATACTTGGATAATGAAATCTTACTAAAAGAGAATCTGGTGGAACATCGAGTTGATTAGGAAGATTACTGGATGGTATGTTCTCACTTGAACTCCTATCCTCAGTTGAGGGTCAACTATACGAACTGGCATGGCAAAGTCGAAATGCCTATGACAAGTGGGAAAACTGCTTATTAACCCATAATCGAGCTCTGATTTTATTCTTCCAGACCGCTGGAACCAACGGT